ATAAAATAAAAATCAGATTTTTGGAGCTATTCTCTTGCAAACAATTAAGTTCTTAGACTTCCAACATACGTGCAGAGACACCAGTTTCTACAACCATAGGTTTGTAAAAGTTTCCACTGCCTCTTGTTCTTAAAATCAGGCTTGCTTCAGGTGAGAGACAAATGAGAAATGCATGCAAGCATATTTGGATTATTCAAAGTTTGCAGCATTTGTAAAAAAGATTTGTTTGCAGTTTATTTTTCATAGACAGATGCATACCTGCCAAACTGCTGTGCCTTTTGCTTGGCAACTCATGCAGATGGGTTTGTCAGTATGGAGAAGAGCAAACAAACCCATACCACACACATGCTCAGGCAAGAGCTTCTACCAGCCAGGCAACTGAACAGATCTTCACTGGTTAGTTAGGATGAGGTACTAACTCTCAAAGCTTCAGTAGCTGTGGACTCTTCTCCACAAGATACACAGTGCAGACAGTTACGCTGCCTCTCCTACTGATGGCCCCTCTCTAAACAAAGCTCTACACCAGCAGTTTTAGTACTGAAACTTCCATTTACTCCAGGCTGTCCTGGAAAAAAAAATAAATACACGGACAAAATCCAACCTAACATTCTTACTAAAGGGCTTTACAAAGTTCCAAAAGTTTTACAAAGAAAGAATAGGCTTAAGAGCCTTTACAAAAGCCCTCCAAATAACAGTTCCTAAGCTCGCATGCAGTAGCCAGAATTCAAGGGGTGAAGGCAATGTAGGTTGGCTACACAGCAGCAGGAGAATCAAGATGTCTTCTCTCACGGGACACAGGTGCACTGGCCTTTCCTACGTCTTCAGGGATCTGGCATCCTTGCATCTTCAGAGGCTGGAGTCACAAAGCCAAATGTAATGTTGCACCAGTATATCCCAAAGAACAAGACGGAGCTCCACTGAGAGGAGACAGAGCCAACATATGACCGAAAGCGACCATGCCCCTCCCTTACCATCTTGCAAAACATCTCTGAAGAATAGCTGTAATTTGGATTCACAAAGAAGTAGGAAAACAGACCACAGCGCAATAAGACACTCTGCATACTTTTCTTTCATGCTGGAGAAGGCTGTGGGGAGAGCAAGATGTTTGAAGACTTCATCATTGCATTGGAACAGATAATTAGGCAATTAAAACTATGAGAAGTGAACAAATTACCAGTTCCAGATGAATTGCTTTGCAGAACAGAAATGGGAAAAGTGAGAAAACAGAAATGAGAGCCGCTGGCAAGCGTTTTAATAGCGCAAGTGAAAGAGGGGCAGCTTGGGAACAAAGGTGAAAGGGCAGTTAATTTGCAGAAGCTTATCTGCTTCTCTGAAGGAACATTTTGAAGGGGCCAGCCCCTAAAAGAATCTTATTTTTCACGTGCCGATAATTAGAACACACTAGCAAACCCAAGAGGTCTCATTCAAGAAACCAGATGAGGTTTAACAAAAGCAAGTGTAGAGTCTTGCATCTACAGAGGAATAATTGCATGCACCAGTACAGGTTGGGGGATGAGCTGCTGGAGAGGAGCTCTGCGGAGAGGGACCTGGGTGTCCTGGTGGACAACAGGTTGGCCATGAGCCAGCAGTGTGCCCTTGTGGCCAAAAAGGCCAATGGCATCCTAGGGTGCATTAAAACGAGCGTGGCCAGCAGGTCAAGGGAGGTGATCCTCCCCCTCTACTCGGGAGCACTGCGTCCAGTTCTGGGCTCCCCAGTACAAAAAAGACAGGGATCTCTTGGAAAGAGTCCAGCGGAGGGCCACAAGGATGGTGAAGGGCCTGGAGCATCTCTCCTATGAGGAAAGGCTGAGTGAACTGGGTCTGTTCAGCCTTGAGAAGACTGAGAGGGGACCTGATCCAGGTCTATCAATATCTAAGGTGTGGGGGGCAGAATGGCGAGGCTGGACTCTTTTCAGTGGTGAGTGGAGACAGGACAAGGGGAAACGGCTGGAAACTGCAGCATAGGAAGTTCTGCACAAATGTGCACAAGAACTTCTTTACAGTGAGGTGACGGAGCACTGGAACAGGCTGCCCAGGGAGGTGGTGGAGTCTCCTTCTCTGGAGATGTTCAAGACCTGCCTGGATGCCGACCTGTGCGACCTGCTGTAGGGAACCTGCTTTGGCAGGGGGTTGGACTCGATGATCTCTGGAGGTCCCTTCCAACCCCTACAATTCTGTGATTCTATCTTCATTTTTTGGTCACCCCACAAGGCTCTCCTGCACTGTGTTCCTAATGCCATCAGTATCTCCCGACATACACACAGAAGATGTGTTTAACCATTCTGCTCCATAAGAAACATCAATAAATTCCTTTTGAGCACATACATTTCTTGATCCCATGGCACTTAGGATAAACCACCATTTCATATTCTGTCCCTACTGGGGAATAAAAGGACATATGAATCTCACATGAAACCAGTTAGTTGAGGTAACTGTGCTGCAGAGACACAAGGAATGCATAGAGTGTAGCTAGCATAGCTAAGGATTGCCTCTTGTTCAACTGCAGAATAGAGCATCTCACACTCAAAAATTCTCAAGAAATGCAAGTTAAGAATGAATCCTGAGCTTTGCAAAGGATTTTCCCCATGTGTTAAAAATAATATTAAAAAAAATTAGACAATATTTAGACAACAAGACAAGAATGGGATGAAGAACATGGAAGGTACAGCTTGTTAAAAAAATACAGAATACACAACAAGTTTCTACTTCACTGCTTTACATCCCGAAGTTTAACTAAGAGAAATACAAAACAATAACTTCTAGAATTAATGTAAAAGCAAACATCAACTTAAAATACGCAACCAACCTCCTGATGAAGATTTCTGATCGCTTTCTTTCTAGGTAAGAGCTTCATAGCTAACGCTATCAAAATGCTCCTCTTAATTAAAGGAGGTCTCTAATACCTAGAAAACAAACTCATTCACATGAGTGAATCTGACTCCTCCGGTACAAAAGCAAGCAGATCAGTAGGGGGAAAAAAAACGTTTGAGTTTTAAATTCTTTGAATCCAAGAAAGCCACCCTTATCTAATCCAAACAGCTTGAAATGAGACATTACCATAGGACAGATGTATGTAAAACTCTGATTGCTTTGGCTGCCAAAGAGAAAAGCAATGACAGCACAACTCTGGCGTCTTTCAGAATGGGGAAAAGCCTTGTACGTTCACTTTCTCTGTGATTTCTAGCTCACTCTCCAGTGCTATTCTGCTGTCAAACTCAAATGCTCATGTGTCCCATTGCCAAAGCAAGACAAGCAGTACAGAAACAAGAGCTGCTTGACAATTCCTCATTAAGTGAACTGCACCATGTGCACATGTAGGGAAACACTACCAGAACACAGATTTCCTCTTTTCTGAAGAGGAGCTCAAGAAAACAGCAGTTTATTTATCCATCACAGAGCAGGATACAACTTACATTCCATCTTCTCCTGAGAAAAGCACAAATAAAAATGAAGTACAACAAACACACCTGACTGACATACGAATTTCAATGGAAAGGATGAGGTCTTGCAGCTGCACTCTATCACTACTCTCTCTTCTTCAGCGATTGCAATAAGATATATTTGAATCTCTCCCTTATTTAAGTGTTCTGGCATTAATCATGAATTATAACCAACATCTGACAGCTCCTTTCTTTGACAGTCTTTTACAAGTTTTTAATCTTTAATCTGCTGCTGTTTGGCAATCTATAGATGACAAGAAAAATGCGGAAAAAGAATGAGTAAATATAGGAAGATTAAATTTTAAACTGATCGAGGTTTTTCAAGAGCCTCTTTGTAGCCTTGATACAAAACAGAGCATTTTCAGGTTTTGTCTTAGATTGCCAGAGTAACTTGTGTGTTTTCCCCAGTTCCTATGAAAATGACGTGCCCATGGCAGGGGGGTTGGAACAGGATGGTCTTTCAGGTCCCTTCCAGCCCAATCTATTCTATATTTATGATTATATTTCAGTTTTTGGTACTTCTATGCTTTCTACTTTCAAAGTCCCCTCAGTCTGTTTTTGCTTATCCTAAGAAACAACTCAAACACCAAAACTCATGTAGGAACATACGTGTTTCAGACAGCTGCACACCACCACAGAAGATTCCAACAGTATTCAGAAAATTAATGCTTCTTTCTTTTACATAATGACTGTGAAAGCATTATGAAAACGTCTTACACAGATCTCTCCTATGATAGCTGGTTTTGAGTTTTCTTATAAATCCTAAACACAAAAACCTTGGCCAAGTTCCTGAACTTTGTTCACATGTGAACAGACCAGCAGCAGTCAGACGCAGTGCAGTTCTGCTATCAGAGATACCCAGCAGATCACTGCTCATTTACTCACCTGCTGTAGGTGTTGCTCAGAAGCATCACTGCAAAAGAAGAGAGCAACAAAAAGAGTGTGGTAACTTACCTCAGCACACCGTGATCGGAACGCCTTGATTTACAAAGAAAAACAGACCATTTCTTTTGGTTATTGTTTGCATTTAATTGAGGACAGTGTAATCAAGATTGGTGCTGCTCCACCTGCACGTGATAAAAGTGCACTGGGTGTGGGTTAACGACAAATGGAGTTAAACAGAAGATACCTACACGCGCTGAGCAGTCACCTAGCTTTACAACCAAGGAATACGCTTGCTTCCAACAGCTCACAGAAACGCTGAAGCACAAACAAGACGACAGAGAAGCACTGATCTGCCCGCAATCCTGAACTCTAACCTGCAGCTCCGCACCTCCTCCCTCCAGAAACGTCTCCGGCAGGCTGCAGCTGCCGGGTACGGACACAAGGTTACAAACCACACCAATTGCAAGCAACCACCAAAAGGCTTTACGGTACAACTACCGTCCGCACGCAGGAACTTCTCCAAAGCAATCAGTCCCCGTCCCCCCCCCCCAGATAAATGAGAAAACCTCTGAAGAGACAGCAACGAACTCCACCACGAGCATCCTCAGCACCTGCAAAACTCCTCCCGCGAAGCCCGGAGCGCAGCAGAGCCCGGACCGAGGCGTTCTCTCTTACCTTTGCTGAGAGTGCCCGTGATAAGCTTGAAAATCGTCCGAGCGAATTTGACAATGCCGTGCTTGCATCTCTTGGAACAGCCGCTCATGGCTCAAACGCGCAGGAAGGTATTTTTCTCACAGGGTCCAGAAATACCAAGGCAGAGTTCTTCGCAAAGTTCAGCTCGTGCAGCGCTCAGAACTCTGCTCTCACGCGCTTCAGCCTCTACTCAGCTTCGCTTCCCCCGAACCACCAGGAAAGGTCGCAGAGCAGAGCCGCGCTCCCGCCGCCCGTTACAGGTGCAGCGCTGCGCCTCGGAGCCAACCGCGCTGCCCGGCTGGAAGTTGCAGAGCGCGGGGCGGGGAGGGGGAGGAGCAGGAGGAGCCGTGTGCAGGAACCGCGGGACCGTTGCAAACAGGAGGTTTGCTGCCTGAAGGCTCTGGGCGTGCTTTCCCAGCTGACTTCAGCTAGGTTGTCAGTGCTACTCTTACCAGGCACAAGGGAACCAGTAAATACTTACCCTACTAGTGCTGTACTCACACTTCGTACGTAGAAGACTGCGGAGTATTCCTCTGCAAAACCCGTTAGAAAGTCCTTTTCCACCTGGCAGCCCCGGGTTACCGGCTCATCCCGCTCGCACAGCAGCCCCACAGCCGCACTGGCTGCGCGCTGGTCGCCCGGTGCTCGCGGGCTCCGCTCGCTGCACGGCGGGTTTGTCCCCTAGCAACAGCCGCAGCTCTGGCTTCTCCGCTTCAGTCCATCGTTTCTGCGTGCCCAGAATACTTTCAATAAAAAGAGCTGATGCGTCCGCCAGCAAAGCGGAGATATCTCGGAGCTCCTGACCTCACCTGACGTTAGGCATATTCAGACTTTAATTTGCGCCGGATTCCTCTCAGGTGCATATTGATAACTGAAGATGCGGTGTGTGCGTGCGTGTCTCGGGCGGATTACCTCAGGGTTCTGCTTCCCCCCGCTGCACGAGGCGGCAGAGCCACCTGGAGCCAACCGACACTTGTAGGCAGCAGCAGCCGCGTGCCCCGCTGAGAAAAAAAGCTCAGCACGCGGTCCTCCACGTCGGGGAGCAAACGGTTCGCTCAGGGCACGAGGCACCGTCTGGCGGTGCGAGCTGCGCTCCCGTCGGGCGGAGCCGTGCCGCGCATCGCTTGGCGGTGACGGAGCGGTGCTGCCGTGAGGAGCCGCCGGCTCCCTCAGACCTGCTGCCCCACCGCCGTACGGTTCGTGCCACCGTCGCTTCGCATCGCCCAGACAGTTCGTTAGACCTTGACAGCACCTCCTCCCCATATCACATCTGTGCGGGTCCCCGTTTCCAGGCTATGCATGGAGGACATAGGAGGAAAATAGATTCCTCGAACGCTGTTAGAAACCGTTTCCAGGTTATGCACGGAGGACAGAGGAGGAAAACAGATTCCTCGAAAGCTGTTAGAAACATGTGGCTAGATAGGGAGTACGGTGTGATTTTCTGCTGTAAAATAATACCTCTGCCTCTTACACCGCAGATTTCCAAACAGTAAGGTGAGCGGTATACAGGGACACAAGGATGGGTATGGAGAAGAATTAAAATAAAAGCAGCAGTGAGGCCTCAGTGGAAAACGCAGAGAACTGCTTCTCTGGGCAGCTCTCAGCTCAGCAACCTTGGCTGACTGCACAGAATGAGCAGCAGATGGGGGCAAAGGCAGGGCTAAGGCACTCCTTCATGACGCTGGTCCCCAGGCTGCCCTTAATTCCCAGAGAGCCAACTCAAAGCTGGAAATGCAACTCCCTGAAAGAAACAATAAGGCAGTAAAATGTCAGCTGGGAAATCAAGGATTCAGCAGGTTAATTATCTGTATCAGTAGGTTTGCTTCATGTTTAATTGCATATGCATATATAGATATAAACTGGGAGGGGGAAATATAAGATAATTGACACGTTAAATGAAGATTTTGAAACAGCTCTTGCATAGTGGGAGAGGCAACAGTACTGTAACCCAGACATCACTTTATACCTTTCTAACCCTCCCATTTTCACACTGATTTCATCTGTTAGTCTCTTTTGGCCCATACTATGCAGGAAAATGGGCCAAAAGAAAACAAAATGTGCAATAGGAACGGGTTATCTTATCAACAGAGAATCATGAAAACTGCAGCAGGTTCAGTAGAGGGTAGAGCTTTGCAGGCCTGAAAAGCTGAGGCAAAGCTGGAGTAAACCAGGCAGCAGTTTCAGTACCCAAAAGGCCCTCTCAAAGTAGTCTCCAGAGCTGATAATTCTAAGAACTACCCAACGAAATACTGGATGCACCATTCAATGCCATGGACAGAATGTGTGAATGACAGTTCAGAGGCACAGTTCTGATCTGTTCAACGGTTAGTCCTTTTTGCTAAAGGAATTCAGGACTTTTAATAGTGATTCCTGAAGCTCTACCAGCCTATTGTGCTAATTGCAGCACAAACCTGAAATAAGGATAGTTCTTATTTAAAAATATTAAAGACAAAAGAAAAATAAACTCCGACACAAATAGATGGATAACGAAGCATAGCAAAATAAGATAAACCACTGCTCATGGCCGTAGTCAGCACTGGCACAGGCTGCATGCAATATCATGTGGCCTTAGTGGAGAAAATGCCTGAAGACAGAGGGATAATGATTTTTATTATTATTATTTTCTTTAATGTCGCAAGTGCAAGAGCCAGTGTAAGAGGAAATACAGAGCTGCTTAGTTTAAATTTAACATGCTAGTAAATGCAGGCTAGTTATGAATGTTGTTTTGAGGCATGAATCAAAACACTGAGTAGAAGATCACATATGGCCCCAAATTCCTTACTGATGTTGTGTGATGGAGAGCACAAAGAGACTGGCTGTGAACTTCTCTTAGATGCAAAGATGTTACACTACCCCTGATCCAACCTTTTTTTAATGGTCATTTCAGACTACAGAATGAACGTAGACAGGTGGTGCATCTTTCTAGATTTGACTTCAAGTGTAAGGAGATCAAAGTTGGAAAGACACACCTTATGAAAGTAAGTATTCGACTGCAAGACTGAGGTGTAGGGGAAGTCATCCCAAAGGGATATAAAAGTGATGTTCTTTCTTAATTTACCATCCAAAATCACCATGTCGGTGAGAGGTAAAAGTATTCCCTGAATATATAAGACTCCTAAGTTCAACCAAGGGTTCAGCCAGCACAGTTGCTACTGACATCAAAGGCAGTTAAGCCTATTTACATAAGGAGGGAGTTAAACATATTAACTTGAAACCAGGCAGCAAATGCTTGAGAATAATCTCCAGGACAGGCATGAACCAACTGTGAACTCAGATGCACTGTTTTTTTCTCCCACATCCCCATTTTTCTGTGCATGCCTTAGTTTTGGAAAGAGCTATTCCACAGCTACCTGCTGCCAAGGGTGTCAGAGCATAGCGCTCACATTACTCAGATCATCCCACAGATACCAGCACATTCTGGAGGCCAAAAACACAGAAGGAATAACGGGTGGGATCCATCATAGGTCCTCAGTACTGTCAGAGCAATGAGTGCTCACTCATTGCTTTTACATTCTTTCCCCAGCTTTCTGCTTCTTGGAATTGTGGGAAACAGTTGTCAGCTGCCTGGGTATGTGGCCTGGCCCATATTTACAACTGGCTGCAGACTACTGTACTAAAGCCAGAGAGTTCCCACCCTGAAAAAGCAAATCCATGTCTTTTGTCCTCTGGTTTAAGGGAAGAACGTAATTGCAGAAACAAACTCATTACAAACATCTTCCCATAATTTTTCTTCTCAAGTTTTTCCACATTGCTATGATGCACTATTAAACAATATGGTATGAAAATATAGAATCTTTCATCCTGCACTCTTCGGTTCCGATGTGCAAATGAAAGCCAGAGACTTGGCTGCAACATGCCATGAACTCCTGCCCAGCCTGTGCAGCCTTCCAAGAAAAGAGGTACAACAGCAGACTGTACGCACCAAGACTCAGATTTATGTGGTTGGTTGTGCTTTAGATCCAGAAACTCTGATGCAGGCATACACTGCATCTCCTTCACTGCACTCCCAAAGGCGAGTGCAGTGTCAAGCTTGTCTCAAGCTAGACCATGAATAAGATTTTATTGACCTGTTTGGAAGCAAACAGCCAATTGTTTCTACTATCTATATCCTCAATTACTTGAAATCTGGAGGTATTAGCAAAGCAAGAGCAAGAGTTTTACTGGCCCCTATGACAAGATGTGTATCTTCAAGGAGTAGCTTTGAAAATTGATCCACTTAAAATGAACTACTCAAATGTGTTGTAAGCCTGTGTGGATGCAGCTCTGAGCACGCCGTACCCCATGTGTCACTGTTATTGGCAACGATACTAACAGTGAATTTTCATGTATACAAATACAAATATTCTGGAAGCTCAAGGAAGTTTGTACTAATATCTGTTTTTAGAATGTGGTAAACTGACATAAAAACAAATAAACTCACTTCCCCATCATTACCGAGAACAAAGTGGCAGCAAGATTAGAATCAGCATCTCCTTTGTGCCAGTCTAATACTACAGTAGCAACAGGCCAGCCCTTATATTAGTTTCTCCACTGTTCTCTATCATTGCTGCCAAGCAGATAATAGCCACGCTGCGTTTTCGTTCACTCTGTAATTCCAGTTAGTATTATCAATCAGGGGTTCAGGAACACTGCAGGGAGATTTCCTCATCACTACAAAACTTTTTTTTTTTTTTTATGGCACAGTAGTTACATCTCGACTGAAGCAGCTTTCTTCACTGGAGGGGATTGTATAGATGGTTAGGCATCATTATTTTACACAAACTGTTCATTCAATCGCATCATCTGTTTATTTAATATCCCATTTATCAAGCCTGACTAATATTTAAAATATTATATTATATATTTTTATTTAATTATATTAAATATTTAAAATACATATAGATATATTTAATTAAAAATCTAGGGAAAGAAAGGTTGCTGTAAAAGCAGCACGTACATTAAAACAGGCTTCTCGAAGTGCTTATGAGAAATTAAGAAGCTCAAGGGCGCAAAGGGGTGTCTGAAGTACAGGCATAAGCATCCTGAGTGCACATCAAATGAAGTAACAATTCTGACTTTTTCAGGAGCAGTCTGACATCTTAGCCTTGGAAGGCACTGCAGGCAGGTAGACACCTCTGCCTGGGGAAAATCACTGAAATTCTGAGCAGGTAGAGCTTTTTCCCTGCAGAAGAGGGTGAGAATAGTGCTAGGTTTCTCTTTTCAAGCCAAATACAGTACTTGTCACACAAGCTTCCTGCAGAGGAATTGGCTAAAGTTTAAGCAACCAACACTCTTGATATTCCAGCCTTGGACTTCTCCTGAGGTAAGCTTGCCAATTGTGCTAAAACATACCAGTAACATAACTCAGACCAGGAGACTTCTGAGAATTACAGAACTTCCATCACAAAAATCTAGCAAAGAACACTATTCACAGCATCACAGCTTGTAGCTGTGAGAGCCCAGGGTATGCTCCAGTGATGCGCCTCAGTTTTCATTATGTCTGCCCTAATCATGACATGTTTGTCAGTAGGACATTAAAAGCATCAGGAGAAGCAGAACCACACGGGCTGAAGAAATATTCCACAGAGAAGCAGATTCCTTCAGGAGATAGGAAATCAGTTTTTAACATGTGAAATGTTAAGCACGCTCTGTGCTGTAACATACTGACATTGACACTGTCGACAGCTCCTAAGGGGTCAGCTTTAAAATCCAGCACAGCACATCCAAGAACTCTGTTTGCTGATCTAAAAAGTACTGCACTGTTGGCAGGGGGAAAAAATGAGTCCAACTGAGCTGAGCTCCATCATATGGCTGCGATGAAGAAAGAACATGGGACTCCTCTCCTTGCTGGGCTCCACTGCCTACAACTGATTTAGTGGTTGGCAACCCTAGATGATCTTTGAGGTCCCTTCCAACCCAACCCATTCTACAATTCCATCAAGACATTATGCCACTTTTCTTGAGGTCCTGCTTAAATTTCACCCTAGCCTCAATTTCTCAGAATAGCTGTGAAATGGAGAGGATTTAGGCACATTCTTCCTTTGTTCTGTCATTCAAACTAAATCACATTTTGCTTAAACATAGTTAAGGACAGAGATGATACCTGGCAAATACAAAGCTTTTCAGAGAGCAAATGGAACATGCCAAGGGTAATGACTGTCATCCTTAGATAAGTCTGTTTTGGCAAAGGACCAAACAAGGCAAAAAAAAATAATAATAAATCCCTAACAACAAAGCCATGCTTCCCTTCACCTCAGTGGCAGTAGTTTGTCAAAGGGATCTCCCAACTTATTGACTGGGAGAATTTGTGCTAAATCAATGATTACCATTATGCCTCCCAGCTCCAATGACACAGAAGCAT